ACCCCGGCCCTCCGGGGACCTATCCTGGAGCCCCAGGAGCACCAGGGACCTATCCTGGAGCATATCCTGGAGCACCAGGGCCGTATCCTGGAGGACCATCAGGACCGGGACCGTATCCGGGAGCACCTGGAGCATTCCCTGGAGCACCAGCAGGACCAGGGCCGTACCCTGCCCCAGGACAACCGCCCAGTGGCCCTGGATTTGGGCCCCCTCCTCCGCAGGGGGGACCGGCTCCTCCCATGGTAATGGCTCCATCACATTAAAAGGGTTTCTGCGTCCTCACTGCCTGATTTTGCCGGTTGGGGGAGGGACCTGGGGCTGGCTGTCCCCGGGGGATGTGTGACATGACCGCTCACTGTGTCACAGAGCTGCTCCGGTGTTACACCGAGACCCAAGCCCTTACCTGATGTGCTTTATTTTGTTAACACTAAATCCCTGTTGCTCTCCCAGAAAATCCCCTTCGAGCTGCCCCTGCAGGCAGGACTCGTCCCTCGGATGCTCATAACCATCACGGGGACCATCAACCCCAACCCAGACAGGTACGGGAGGGTGTCCAGCACCGAGGGCAGGGGGGGTTCCATGAGGCACTGCCGGACGGGTCAGGGAGGCTGGAATTTGCTTTCCATTCCTAAGTAACACCTGCTTGGTGTAAAAACCCAAATATTACATTAAATATGGAAAAGCTGCCAGAAATGCCCCGTCATTGCTCAGCAGAGGCAGCGGGGGTTTTTTCCTGCCCGCTTGCTGCTACTTCTGGCAAGCCCTCTCACAGGGCTTGTTTCATAGATAAACCAGTGATCCCATTATTGTCTTTGCAGGTTTTCACTGGATTTCAAGAAAGGGAATGACATTGCCTTCCACTTTAATCCCCGCTTCAAGGAAGACAACAGGAAAGTCATCGTCTGCAATTCAATGTTCCAGAATAACTGGGGAAAGGAGGACAGGACAGCTCCCAGGTTTCCATTTGAAGCTGGAAAACCCTTCAAGGTAGCAAAAAAAACCCCCCCAACTCCGTCTCCTTGTGCCACAGCACCCGTGCCGTGTGTGGGAGCACTTGGGCACGGCTGCGTGACAGGATGTGCTGGAAGGATGGTGGTGCTTTCGCACAGGAATTGGCTCCCCGGGGTGCTTTTGGGGCAATCGCCCGGGGTGCTTCCCTGGCCGTCCGGCACAGCAGGTCTGCGGCACCTTCCCTGCACTTCTTACCCTTCCTGCAGGTCCAGCCACCCAGGGTATTTCTCCCCAGTTCTGCTATTCCCGTTTATTATTAAATCCTCCTCCTGCAGCAGTTGTTGGGCCAATTTCTACAAAGCATTTTCCCCGTTAGCAGCCAAACTCTCTTCATGAGCTTTTTGTCCTGCAAAACAGGTTCACATTTGGCGAGAACGCGGCTCTCGCTGTGTGAACCGTGCAGTACTGCTGCTTGAAACTGCTGTCACAGTCACGAGGAGACAAAAACTGTGGGCTAAAACATGGAGGAGGAAGAGTACGGCAGGGCTTTGGGGAAAGCAAACGTCACTGGTGGTTTTTTGCAGCTGGGAGTTGCAGCACGTACCACCGGGCTGGATTCAGCCAGCACCTTTAGCCGGTGCCAGCCTGCTTGGGTCCGTGGCGTAAAACTTCCTCCTAGAACAAATCTGATGGTTATCTTTTGGCTGATTTGGGGTTTTTATTGCAGCTCCAGATCCTTTGCGAGGTGGATCACTTCAAGGTAGCGGTCAACGACGCTCACTTGCTGCAGTACAGCTTCCGTGAGAAGAAGCTGAATGAGATCACCAGACTGTGCATTGCTGGGGACATCACCCTCACCAGCGTTACGCCGACCATGATTTAACTACAGCGGCGTCATTTTACTGCAAACTTAGTGCTCTTAATACAGCTGTAACAGAAGCGCCCTCTTACATGAATCATTTGAGGTAATAAAACATACTTTCACAAGTAAAATTTGTTTTCAGTAAGATCTCAAAAGACACGACATCCTCCAGCAAGCCATGTTCAAGTGTGGAAGTATCCAAATTCTTGCCGTAGAGACAGAGATTCTCTTTCCCGAAGGCTCGTGACTAGGAGCCATTAGATTTGGATGGAGAGGAGGACTTGGGAAAGCAGCCTGTGGACTAGGGCAGCCATCTTCAACCCCATCTTCTCCAAGTACCAGACAGCAGTCAGTAACTCAGTGTTTTTAGCCTGTTGCTCTGCTAGGTGGAGCAGTTATTCCTTTTGCACTAAAGGAATCAAAATAGTGCAGCAAAGGACTTAAGATCCCCCCTCATGGCAGAGGAGTTGCACTGTCAAGCTACGAATTCACCAAAGTGTTGCCTCACTGCAGTTGTTTGCTAGGAAACACTGGAGGGAAGAGGGAATGCTTGAGAGCCTCTGAGCCTGACCAGAATGAGGTATTTCAAGAGAGGGTACAGAACTGGAAGAAGCAAAACCTCTCCCCTAGGCCACGGCTAGAAGAGTTACCGCTCTCCTTCGGTTCAAAGGCCCATGCTGGTGGCCCAAATCGGCACATCCTGAACACACTGCCCTCCCAAGGGAGATCCAGTTTGCACAAGCATTACATACTCCACAGAACAGGTCACGAGCCTCGTGCTTCTCTCCCCTCATCACTTCTGTGTGAGTCAAGACCAGTTTCAAGGGTGGGGTGGTTTATTGGCAAGTTCACCTCATGAGTCAGGCTGGTAGGAAAAGAAAAAAAATGTTCCCTTTGCTGTGAGTCATTCTGGTCTTGTCTGCAAAACAAGAACAGTGCAATAGCCGCTATTAAAGTTTTCAAGGATCTCTTTGACATGTCTCATACTCTTTTATAACAGTCGCTTCATTTATACTTGGAGATGCCAAGTTACAAGCAGCAGAGTGTTGAAATTTCCAGCAGATGCAGCAGCCTAGACCAGCACACTGCTAAGCGTACACATCAGATGTCAGAAATCCCTCATTAACCATGATTCTGATGACTGAACAGAGCAGGCAAGTCATTAAAGAGCTATTTTCGTTTGAAACTATCCATATAACTGAAGTTTAGTAACAAAGAAAGTCAGTACCAGCACAGTAACACCAAGCCGCATTAGCTTCCTCTATTTCAGTGTAATCCGTACACAGCTTCCAGGATAAAACTTCAGTCAGACACGCTCCCCCAGCTGTAGGGGCAATGCTTTCTGCCAAGGGATTTGAATTACCTTTGCTTGGTTTAAAACAAAGGCTAGTGGAAGAATGTGGGTATTACACTAAGGTCACCATTACAAGCAGCAGCCCAGTCAGGTATTTGTTAAAAATATAACAACTCAGATAAAGAGTATAACTGGCATGCTCCTTATGCAGAAATATATTGCAGTCCAAATATGAGAATGCGTAAGGATTAAGATATGAGAAGAGGCTGAGGTTGACATGTCAAGTGTTCAGAGAAAGAGGTGAAGAGATTTTCACATGAAAAAGCAGAGAACAGAGTTTGGCTTGAAGGTATTTAAGATATTCGATAGATAACTGTGTCCTTAAAGGAAATCCTAATCAATGCCTATTTTAATACACTACCAGGAAAAGATATTATCTGACTTTGAAATCCTGGTTCTGAGATAGTTTCTACTACGACAAAGCAAGTGGTTGTTAATACCAGGAAGACTCCCACAGGGAAGAATGACGTGCATCAAAGCCTGCCACATCTGATCAGGCAGAGCACGGAACACAGAGCCCAAGGGTGCAGCTGTACCCTCACCGCAGCGAGGGAGTATGAAACAGCACTTTGGGGGAGGCGACAGGCCAAGTCTTACCCCTTGCATCAGAAATAGGGCACAGGTACAGCTAGTCTGACAGGCATCTTATAATTCACAAGGTAAGCGTGGTCAGGACCGAAAAGGTTAAAGGCGAATAGTTTTACAACTTGAAGTAGACAGGAAATACATGAAGTTATACAAAAATAAAAATAATTTCAGGTTGTAGTCAGAATATGCAAGTGTTGGATACAGCAGGTGTAACCAGTGAACACCCTGCTACTAACATACAGCAGAACTTACAGTGTGTAATGACTGCACCATAAAACCTTACAAAATATTTTCATAAGTTCCACTATAAAATACCACAGGTATTCATTCATTCACTCAGAACACAGTTTAAGCGTAGCAGACTGTATTCCAGATATACTCTGTGGTTTGGGGGTTTTTTTTGTGTTAATATAATTTACACATTTTGAATGTTAAGTCACTCATTCATTTTTTCCCCAGAGGGAGAAAGGGGAGAAAATACAATAAGGTCACTGAATGCTTCAGCTGCTGCAAACTTCTGGGCTTTGCTCTTGACTGGAGTGAAGGGAAGCTCAACATCCAGCATTGGCTGTGGGAGAAAACACAGTGCGAAGTAAGTGTTTGAGGAACAATCTGCAAAACAGCACTGCAGTGACACACAAAATAAGCTAATAGCAAATTCTGCTTTTCCTAACGACATCTGTATGAACACCAGGTCAACAGTAATTACTGCCAGGCAACCACTTATGTAGGTTTTGGTGCCTGCCTACTTCAGAGGCCACTTAACCATCACAGGACAAAAACCAGGAGAAAACACTTTTGATGAGGGAACAGGAGAAGCATGCAATTCTCTTGCCTCTCGCTCAGCACTGCGGACACATCGCGGCTTTAGAATAAGCAAAGCACAGGGCTGTCAGGCAGACCTGAAACCTGCAGCAATTCAGTAGATGTAAGTATACTTTAGAAGTATACTCTAAAAGTTAAAGCTATAAAAAAAGGGGTGAGACAGAACCTGAGAAACTCCAAGAAGAAAGTGGAGGAAAAAGGCCAGGCCGTTCACTATGTTAGTAAATATTTACAAGGAAATACACAAGAAATACAATTTAAAGGATCAATCTGACAAGAATTATACATTCTTCTGCTACAAATGTCTCCATTCATCCTACAATCATCATGTGCAATAAATAATAACAGTGTGAGCCTAAGCAGGGAGACAGGAATCGTGGCTTGTATTTACAGCAAGTTATATGAACTGGCTTGGTAACGTCTTTGAATTTAATTTACTTTGTGCAGTAACTGATTCTGCAGGAAAGGTTAACAGTACTGTAACATGCATATTGTCTTAGTCAAATAAACCTGAAAGTCAACTTACCATATCAAAAGGATTTCTGCCAATGGATGTTAAATCACTACATGAAACATCTGAAAAATAAGAATATTTAATTTTATTTTCTTTATAAAGTTAAAAAGTTTGAAGTCTGATGCTGCCAAAGCTGGAAAATGCAGTATTGTTTTCTGCATTTACTGGAAAACCAAACCCACACACCTAAACTGCCTGTGTTTACTTCTACTTCAAGCCTTTTATATTAGCTTTCTCCTTCAATTACCACATGGAAACTACACAGAAAAGCCGAGGGGCAGTGTTTGCTTTTGTGCAAGGCATGTTTAAGTCATACAAGCTAAAGGAGGTTTTGCTAACAGCATACATAGATTAACCAAGCCACAATGACAGTGATTTCAAAGAGTGATATTTAGACTATCACAAAACTTCAGAATAAACATAAGGCCCCAGCAGCACCACACAAACTGTGCTAAGCAGCTTTAAGATATGCACCTGTTTGGTGTATTTGTGGTTCTCCAGACTGAGCAAAATGAGTGTCTGAGCAGGTCTCCTTTTCTGGACTGCACATGATGATATCTTGTCCTTGTTCTGCAGCAGATAGTTCCATCTCTTCCATGCCATCTGTTACTTTGAATTCACTGCTAGGATTTTCCAGCACCTGAAAAAGAAGAATTTTAACTGTTCCTTGCCCTCTGAGAGGGTAAGATGTCTGCAGTAGCTACATTTGCTTCCCTGAGAGCCAAAAGGAAAGCATCAGTGGACATGAAGGCAGCCCCTATGACAAGGAAGCTGTTACGTCTGCAATAAAAGGAAGCTTGTCAGCTTTTGATGCAGAAAGCACAAAGGTCAAAAGGTAGCCAGGATATTTGACAGATATGAGTTTACAGAAACCAGCACACGCCTGTTGTCAAACCCAGTCCGTACATCTAATCTGCAGTTTTTATAGACAATTCAGGAGAGACAGAGTTTTAACTCCAGACAATGTACAAAGGACAGGCAGGACAAGGCATGCAGCTTAACACTGCGCTCCGTTTCACATGAAGTATTTCCCAAACGTCCTTGAAAGCTTGAGAATCTCTTTGAGAGTATAAAGGAAGTTCTTCCTCACGAAAGAAGATTTTGAACTTAAAGTGCCAAAAACATTTTGAGGACTTCTCTAATGAGACTTTACCTGAAGAAAAACCTATCAGCAATACCGAAAGTTAAAGATTACCAGAGTTTTCCCCAGAGAGCAGCACCACCAATAAGCAATTTCTCATTTGACAGGGAAAGGAGGAAGTAAAAGGCTTAAGAACACATTAGTAACCAAGATTATTTTTTTTAATACAAATTTTATATATGGGGAGGTGAAGGGAGGAAATGACTGCTGTAATCATACACCGATCCAAGCAGTAACAAATAAAATTAAGACACTCCATTTCCAATGAAAGGTACTAAAAGGATGATTAACTGAAAAGCTTTCACCAAGTAGCACAGCATCATCTAAACTATGGAGGCTGCATTCCTGGTTTTTTAAGGCTACTCAAACATAAACGTGTCACCAAGTCCTCAGGCATTTCAGGGCATGGATTTTGATACTTGTACCAGTAACACTGCTCTTGCTATACCTTTAAGTAACAGCCCAACGCACTGCTCTGGCAGCATGAGGACCCAGAGAGCTAAATACTACTGTTGCCTTTAGTCATGGTCCCCAAATGCAAAAGCATTTTAAAAAATTCATACCAGAAAACAGGTAGTGGACTTCAAAGAAGCACTGCT